TTTATCTTACAAATTTTATATTTATTTTCAGCGCATTTTGAAATGCCTAAAGTTGTCAAGACAAATTGTGTGGTCAAGTTGTGAAAACAAAACATTTTAGGCGTGTTCAGGAATGGCGTTCGATTGCACTTTTTTAATTTTCATCAGACATGTCTGGGAAACTTGATTCTTTACCGAACAAATATTTCGGTAAAAAAAGTTCGTTATATATATATGTATATGTATATATATATATATATATATATATATATATATATATATATATATATATATATATATATATATATATATATATATATATATATATATATATATATATATATATATATATATATAAATATATATATATATATATATATATATATATATATATATATATATATATATACAGGCCTCTGTAGGAATGAAGGGTGATTACCTACGCTTGCCTCTACATCCATGTAAGTCACTTTACACTGGCAAAATATTGGTAGCAGTAACATTATCAAAAACAGCCAAACTGAATAAGCTCAAAAAGGGACTTTCCAGAATAATATCGAAATAAAGAATAAATTGTAAAATTGTAAAAAAAAGAATGGCATCTAAAATATGAAAAGCAGAATAAGGTCGAAATCGCTTAAAAGAGAATAAATTGGAAAAGGGACTTTTCTGATTAATATTGAAATAGAGATAAACTGAAATTGTGAATTTTAATAGATAAACTGCCTGTCCAAATCAAACCCTCAGTGGGTGTGGAAACACTTCTTGCATGTGTTTTACCTCTTTGCTAGTTTTTCGATACTATTCCTAACTCCAAATTTTTTTCAAACTTATTCCTTAAAATTAATTTTTGATAACTATTCCAAAAAAATGTTTTGATCAAAATAAATTTGATTTTAATCCATTTTTCAAGCAATTTTTATTTCAATACAATTCTGCTTTCCAACGTTATATAGCTCATGTAAATATTCAATTTTTTTTTTTAAACAGCAAAATTTTATAATTTTTAAGTTTAGTCATATTTTACTTACATAAACAAAAATAATGAAAAACATCTTGCATACTTAAAATAAAATATTGCTCAAATAAGTATTACATAATTATGCAACGATCAAATAAAAAGCAAACAATTGTTTATTCATTTTAATTAAAATAAAATAAAATTTGCAATTCATTGCAAGTTTTATTTTTGAATTTTTCATTGTTGTTATTTTTGGTGTATTTTACCAGCAAATTTAGTTTACTGACATTATTCTTAATTCCCTTATTAAAAATCATTAATAAATTATTTAATTTCATATTATTTATTTTTATGCAAAGACTTTTGTTACTTTCCTAACTTCAAGTAAACAACATTAAAAATGTAAATAAAAAGTTTTTGAATAATAGTAATAAATAAATATAAAAAAACAATACACTAAACATATTTAAAAATTTAAACTAGAGAATAGCTGACATCAATTAAAAATGAATCTTAGCCTTGAATCTTTAATCTTAGCCTGATATAGGTTTTTTTTACCTGATATAGGTTGTTGTTGTTTTTTACTATGATTTTGATCAGTTGAGAATTTAAAACCATTTATAAATTCCATATTATGCGTGGCACCATCAGGCTGGCTAAAACCCTGATATATACAACAAATTTGAAACCTAATTTTTAAAATGATAAACTACCAGTAAAAAAGTTTAAACTGCAAAAAAATGTAATAAATAATAAGAAAATTTTTGGTTTTATGTACTATTTTTGTAACATTATAAAATGCATAAAAAAAAAAGAAACTCGGCCATTACATGAAAAAAGAAATACTTTTCAATAGTTGAAAAAAAGTAAACTATCACTTATTATAACTATACAACTATATTTTATATAGAATAATAAAAGATAAATTTTATAATAAATTATTAAATAGTGCATTAAATAAATCAGTAAAAACAAACTATTTGGATTTTTTTGTCACTTTAAAATAGCTACTAAAGTTTTCTTTTTCTTTTAAACATAATTATACTTTTATTGTATATTTTTAATCAAATCAATAAATTTTCACTTGAATAATAACTGCATATATATACAATGCAGGATATTTGAGAACAGTTATAAACTGACTATGTGTAAAGTCCTATCATGGTATAATTTATAGCATAATAATAATATTAATAAGAATAAAAATAACAATAATAATATAATAATGACAACAATATAATAGTAATAATAACAATAAAAATAATAAAAATATTAAATACAGCAATATAAAACAGTATAACATATATATTTTTACTATTATATTCAAAATAAAACATTGGTAGAAAATATTGATTAATAATAATGTAAAGTAAAAAATATAAAAATTATAATAATATTAATAACAAAATAAAAAGGAGACAGGAAAATGGAGAGAAGTTTAACAACTTGGAAAGAAGAGTTAAAGTTCTAGGAGAAGTTCTAGGAGAGAAGGGACGATTATAGAATATTGTTTATTTTTTTATATATTTCATGTTACATGATTAAATAACGATTCCACAAACTTTAGAGCTATATAAACTTTACAGGATGATGAAAATAAGGGTATTTGATTGAGACTAAATGAATATTTGAATATTTTTTTTATATTTTATATTTTTATATTATGAGTTTAATATTTTATATTTATATTATGAGTTTTTTTACTTTTATTGATTAAAAAGTCTAGTTATAGAGAATAAATAAAAAGGGCGATTGCAAAAAATGATAGTTCATTGATTGTTTTTATTGAGAATAAACTTTTTTACATAGGTTATGAAGGAATTTCTGTTTATCTTTTGGAGAATAGTTTTTTAGTTTCAACAGCAAGAGAGTTCTAAGAGTGATTTGATTGATACTTGATTGACCTTATGCCATACATAAGTATGTTTAAAGGCATAGAGAGACTACAATAATACAATAATTTTAGAAAGATTGTATAGTATGTCAGAACTAAAACTGTTAGGTTAAAAGTGAATGATTCCTTATGATTTATTCTGGAGATATATATGGGTTTTTTATAAACAGATAATGGTTTCTTTATAAACAGATGATGGTATAAACAGATATATGGTTTTTTTATAAACAGAAGAGCCTTTATCTGACAACCATAGCATAGATGGGAATTAAAAATAGCATGCCAAATATTCACAAGGGTTTTGTAATTCACAAAATGCCTTATTTTGGTTAGTATTCCTTTTGCTCGACTTTAAAATAAGTGTTATTTGCTCAACTTTGCCCTACTTTAAAATAATAATAATTATTTTAATTAAGGGAATATGGGGAACATTCGATCATGGGGAACATTTGACCTTTTCAAATATTTTCCAGCATGATTAAAATTACCACTTAAATTTTTATGTTTGTTTTGTCTATTAATAAGCTATTGCGGCCCACGATTCTTGTTTCCCACAATACTTGTTTCCTACAGTTCGTGGGAAACAAGTGTCAATCCACCTTTATTAGTTTTAGTAATTGTATATAAGAAAATCTGATTATTGATATAAATAGTAATTTTTAATTGTTTTAAATAATCCGAAGAGAATCTCTTTTCCAATTTTAATCTCCTAACCTTTTGTACTGTTTACTTCAAAAAATTGATTTTGGCTTTTAACAGCGTTTGTTTATATGTAACACGTGTGGGGTACATTTGACCCACCTAGCTAGAGTACATTGGACCGGTGCTTGCAAATACAACGATAATTTATTTCTCTTATCTTTTGGATGCCTTAAAAATATGTAACAAAAACAGATAGAAATATAAAAAAATGAAAATGCGGTAAAGCAAGCATTTATTAGTATTTTCAATAATTAACTGTCTGAACGACAAGCCACAAAATAATTTCATGCCCAGATATGTTACCAATAGAACCCTAAGTAGAACCAAGAGAAAATCTAGGGGTAATAAGGACATCATTACAAAATAATTTACCACTCTTATCTAACAATCAAACCTCAATGATCAATTCCTCCTGCAATTACTAGAATAACTCTAACAATTAAAAACTGATTTCAGAACATGTGCAGTCCTTGACTAAAGCTCCTCAAAAACAAAACAAATAAAGAGGAAACCAGGGAAGTCAAGGTCAATCCTTGAAAAGGAATAGATTGAGAAAAGTTTTTGGAAATAATTTAGAAAAATATATATATATATATATATATATATATATATATATATATATATATATATATATATATATATATATATATATATATAAAAAGTTATCAACCTGAAAAAAAAAAAACGCTTTTAAAGTCTGTGACTACAACAAAGAAAGTAAGAACAACATCATGATTTTTATTTCTAAATAATTTTGCAAATCTTATTGTAAAATAGCTATTACTATTTGTTTTTATATATTTTGTGGAAAGTTTTCATTTGCACAATAAAACATTTAAAATGAAGAAAGCTTATAGATTTATTATTTTATTAATGATATGGTCGAAAGTACCCCTCTAGGTGGTAAAAACTACCCTAGCTATGGGGTACATTTGACAACTTTGAGGTTTCATTATTTAATATAAATTATCTATTTAATTTGTTTGTTTAAGACCATTATTTGTCATGCTAAAAATGTTAATTGTTTCTGGCAAAAAATCATTTGTAAGTTAATAAAAACCAGCTTAGTGGTTGAATGTTTCTTGTCTTCCCCAACTGTTAAATTAATTAATTTATTTTAAATTATATTTCAATTTTAATTAAACATTATTTTTAACAAATACTATTTCCAGTATATTATTACGCATCTAAAGACTTTATTACTTAAATGAAAACCAGAAACTTTTTAAAAACTTGATGATAAAACTAGTTTACTTTATTAAACTCACTTATGTTCATTTTTGAGAAAGAAATAAACAAAACAAAAATTATTAATAACTTCTTATTAATAATTTTATTTATTTTTTAACATATTAAAAAAAAAAAGTATTAGTGTAAACCCACACCAACACATTTTATAATCAAAAAAAAGCATTTAAAAAAACCTTATAAAATTTAATTGGTTAAACAAAAAAAAATTATTACCATGATTTTGAAGTAAGTCGTAAAGTTGATTGATTACAAGAACATCCTGATTGTCAGAGGGCTTGGGCATACACCTTCGAAAAAACTTCATTCTGTTTCCATAATTTAGGACTAAAAAAAATCAATCTATGAAGTTAAGTCATGTTGATAAAATCTTGTTATAAGGGAAGTTGTTGATAAAAATTAGCTAAAAAGTTCAAAATGCTTCATTATCATGTAACTCGTTAATAAAAATTATGATATAAAGACATGTGATGTCCTTATATTCACGTCATATAAAAACACTTTTTTTAACAAAATATTTGGAATTAAGACTAATAGATTGAACACTATTTGTTTTGGGCATTGACATGACTTGTATAAGATTTTTTTTTTATGGGATAAAAATAAAGGATTCGGTTTCGGTGTTTTAAGGGCAAAATTTCTGGGACTTTAACCCGCAAAACAATAAAAATTTCTGTTTTCTATTAATAATAAAAACAGTAAATATTTAATTTACATACAGCGGCTGTTTCAAAGTGGACATACGGCTTCTTGTTATTTTACACTCCAATGATGTATAAATATAATATTTATACGTCATTGGTTCACTCAAAGGGTGTCACTTAATCAAAAGGGTGTCACTTGAATAAAAACTTTCGGAAAATTTTCCATAGTAAGAGTGAAAGCAGTAATCTCAAAATATACTAGTCTAAGAGCCTGTGGCCGCCAGTCCTACGTTATTTTATAAAAGTTGAAAATTTCTTAGCGTATACTCCTAACACAAGTGGAAACAATGGTCAACTATGTAATTTAGATTATGGTGGCTTTGACTAGTAACAGGTACCAAAGGTTAAAAAAAAAGTATTGGTTTCTATTAGCATTTAATGAGAGTTAGAACCTAAAAAAAAATGGTAATAGAAATGAAGTTAAAAAATGGTTTTAATAGCTATGTTGCTTATTACTTTTATATTAAACAAAATAGCTATTGAAAACATTTTTTAACTTCATTTTCATTACTATTTTTATCTTACATTCCTACTATTATTAAATGCTAATAAAAACCAGTACTTTTTTAACGCAATCAAAATGTAATTGTTTTCATTTAAGCTATGTAACTAAGATTTTTGCTAGAACGTTTTAAATATAAAACCGACAATATTGCTATTATTAATTACAATTTTTCGAAGTTAAAGGGTGTCAGGCAAGGAGCTTCCACCATGATAAGTGTCTGGAAATGGAAGGCATGATTTTTAATATTTCTACGAAGAAAATTGTCAGAAAATTACGCTTTATAATTTGACGTAGTTTAGCGGGTTTTTTAAAAATCTTTGGTACCTGTTACCAGCCAAAACCAATATGATCTAAAATACATAGATAATTTTCGTTCCCACTTGAATTTCATTAAGTTCCCACTTGAACACAAAATTTTTAACTTTTATAAAATAACTTAGGTCTAGTTAATTCCTAATAGCTCGAACCTATTCGACTAAACCAAATTCAGGTTATGTCAAACGTTGGCTGATATGAGACATTAGTTCGAGTAAAAGTGATTTTTCTTTATTCAATGCTAAAGTATATGCATGAAATTTACACCAGTATACTAATGTTTCAAAAGAAACATTACGAATAATGGTAAAAGAAGTTACGGATCGTATTCACGCAATACAGCCAAAAGATAACATTCAAAAAAGATTAGTGACACAACTACTTCCTCGTTATTTGGTAATAAAATTGCCCCTAAAAAGTAGCGGTCTTTTATTCAGAAACTCGTTAAACTATAAAATAATTATTTTTTCTACGGTTTTGTCATGATTTACTTTTTAACAGTTAAAATTATAGAATTATTTTACGTTTGATAACGATTCGTTTTATTCAGATTTAAATACAACGAAAAAATAAATAAATGATGTCAATATATTTTATATACAACGAAAAAATAAATAAATGACGTCAATATATTTAATTGCCGCACAAAAAGTTTAAGCTATCCGAAGAAATTTGCTGAAAAGGGAAGAAATAAAGGTTAGACTTAACGAAGTTTGAGTTATTCGAGGTTCGACTTTAGGTGATACCTTTAATTACCACTATTAAATGACCACTATTAAAAATTAAAAAAATCATTTTTTAAATTATAAATTTTTTGATTAGTATAACTATTATAACTTATAAATTTCAAGTTAGTACTATGAAAAAAAGTAACTAACACCATTAAAAATCATTTTTTAATAAAACGGTATATGCAATTTTTTTTTTTTAATTCCCATTTTAATTTTAATTTTAAACAACAGGATTGTTCGCTGATGATACTACCATTTATTCTTATCTTATTAAGAAGCCAACACTCTTTGATTTCTTGGAGGGGCATTTGAGCTTCAAAAGTATATCACTTCTGCTACAGAGTGGGGCTCTCAGTGGTGAACTTTAAGTTAGATAAAACTCAATTTTTTTTCAGCTAATTGTTATACGATAATCTAGTACTTCATATATTTATGAACGGTATTGAACTCAATGAGTCATTTGCCTTTCATCTACTAGGATTAACTCTTACTTCCAATCTTTTTCTAAAACTATATATCAAATCTATTTCAAAACTAGCATCTGCTTAATGTTCTCACCACTTTCTTACTCCGTGTTCTATTCTTTATCTCTAAAAATCTGTTATTCGTCTTTTTATTGAATGTTGTTGCCAAATTAGGAGTGCATCCACAAATGATGCACTTTCTCTTTTAGACAAGGTGCAAAAACGCATGGCAAACATAGTTGGACCTGCTTTTGCAGCCAACCTTTAACCATTTTCACATCGTCGTAATGTTTTTGCTCTCTTTTCTTATAAAAACTTTAGAGTTTTAAATTTTTAAAAAAACTTTTAAAAGTTTTAAACTTTTTTAACAAAAAAGGTTTAAAGCGTTAAAGCCGTGTTAAACGTTTAAACGTTTTAACGCTTTTAACGTTTAAACGTTTTAACGCTTTTAACGTTTAAATATGTTTATTGTTTTTTTTTTTACGTTTTCAACTTCTAAAATCCCTTTGAGCATTATTTGTATATATACCCTTAGACGATATAAGTTTACTCCACTGTGCCGATTTCTATTTATGTCATTTAATGTATATACACTGTGACTACGGCTATATATGCTGTATCTTAGCGCATATTTTTCGTCATTGCACTGTGTGTTTAAGTGTGGCTAAACCATGCAAAAGATTTCTTTTTTTGCATTTTGCTTACTTCCAATATTTTTATAATGCATACTTATATATTTTCATAATTACATACATATAAGTTTACATAATTACATATATATTTTAGAAACTTGCATTCTAATATATTTTTAAGATTTTAAAACTTTTTAAGAGGTTGCGCAACCATTTTTAAGAGGTTGCGTAACCATTTTTTCTATAATTTTTGTTTAAAAGTGTCTGAACTGTTGCCCCATATCTTTTACCGTTTTCTCTGTTTAAAAATACTACAGACTGCGTTTATTTTTGATATGTTTAATATTCCGACTCTCCCGTTTGTTAAGATTTCCCTGTTTTTATTAGATTTTATATTTATATCTCTGATCTTCCTGTTCATTAGGATCCCTTGTTTATTTGGTAGGTGACATATTTATTCGTTATGTATCAAACTGAACGTCTTAGATTTTTATCAGAAGTAAAAGAATGCTAATATAAAAGCCGTTTCAACATAAAACTTCTGTAATCAGTCCATTTAGTATCTTAATCTACATAAACTTTAAACCTTCATAAACAAGTTCTCAGAAAAGAGGTTACTTTTTAAAAAAAATTTACGCACTTATTACTGTATAAAGTCGTGAAGCGGTTTGTAAGCGGTTTATCATAATATTTGCTGTATATCAATTATTTCATTGGCAAAAAAAAATTATATAGTCAACACTAGCAAACATATAAGCATTATTGCTTGTTTCAACCTGATTACATAATTCTTTATTGTGGTTGCATTTTGTTAATATTACTCATTCAATACTAATGACAGAGTACAACGTCGTCGCAAAATACAATTTTACGTGGGGAGAAAAATATCTCATAACAGTAAAAATTTAATACAAGATTTTTACAAGTAAAAATTTAACATAAATTTTTTTTTACTCTGGAGTAAAAATGTATTATTAGTTTAAAACGTAGTAGTAAAAATCTCATAAATAAATCTTATTATATTATTACTGCGTATGTCGAGTACCAATATCGAGTGAATCAAACTTAGGTTGAATCAAAACGACACTTACTTAACATTAGACTTTAATTAGATTTCCGACATCTTTTTTGAAAACAAACTTGAAAAGTTCAAATAAAATAAATAATTATTGTTTGTCTTTAACTTTTGTTATTAATATTTTTTTAATAAAAATCTTCAATACTTATTGTTGTGAATATGTAACTTTTACATATGAAAGTTATCGTTCCATGCATAACTATGCATAGCTATCTTTTGTTATATTTAAATAATAGCAAACTTTAAAAAACAGGGCACAGATTTTAAAAAACAGGGCACAGATTTTAAAAAACAGGGCACAGATTTTAAAAAACAGGGCACAGATTTTAAAAAACAGGGCACAGATTTTAAAAAACAGGGCACAGATTTTAGATTATAAATATTGGTTCTGTAAAACGCGAATTTCTGCATGCCATGCTCTACTTACAATATACGGCCATAAATTCTGCATCTTTTAAATTAAAAAAAAATTGAAGGCTGTTAACGCGTTTAAATTTATACACACAAAAACATCTAAGTTACATTTGTAAGTAGGCTTCTATATTATTTCTTGTTTATTACAACTGTGTCATTTAATATAGAATATAGATATACTCCTACACTGAGATTAATTGTCCTTCAGGTCCGCTAACTCGGATTTAAAGGAGTTATACAAACTGGTTACGGGTAAGTAGTTTTGTAAATGAAAGATTTTTATGTATGTGGACCTGAAAGATAACATCGGATTAGGTGAAAGAATGCCTAAAAATACTGAGAAAAAGTTTAGCTGCTTTAAATTAAAAACAATATCAATAAATGCTAAACCATCACAAACGTACTCTTTTTTTTATTTATTTAAGTTGCCCCAAGAAGTCCTTACGGTCTTATCACAGACCACAGTGAAGGAACATTTGAAAAGAAGTTCACTCCTTTTTCCTTACCGATGTTATAAGACTTACCAAGAGGTGTAACTGAACCACGGATTTCTAGCTTCTGAGGCAAATGCACTAACCACTAACCACAAATATATAAATTAGACGTTTTTCATTTCCTGAAAATTACTGGAGTTTTTTTTTTCTTCCATAATTCATATACCTTAAAAAATAAAAACAAATACAACTTAGGAATTGATCATTTAATTCAGATACCACTTTTTCAAAGTAATTTTGGGAAGTCATGCTTTTCGATTGGTGGAGCTTCTTTTTGGAATAAAATAGTTTGAACATTTCTTAGTATTTTTTTATCTTTTTTATGAAATTCTTAACTCCTTTTTGACAAATATGCTTTAGGTATTTTTATTGATCTCAGAAAGCTTTTTGAAATAGTCAACCA